GGGGGCCCCCCCCCCCCCCCCCCCAAGAGAAACCCTAAGCCCCTAATCCCTAAGACCACGCAAGCTCCGGCGTGAGAGCCTCGGCTGTCGATTTACCGGACCCTCCAGCATTGGTGGTCGCCTGTGCGCAAGACCCAAACCCTTGGGGTACTTGGGCTTAGGATCTCAACGGATCTGATATAAGTTACCTATACCGCATAAGGGTCTTGATCACCACAATAAGGTTGTGGTGTATATCATCCCCAACCCCTAAACCCCGGAACCCCTAAACCCCTGAACCCCTAAACCCCTTAAACCCCTAAACCCCTTAAACCCTAAAGCTCCAAGCCCCTAAGCCCCTAAACCCTAAGCCTGTATATCCTACTGTTATGTTCAAGGGACGTTCCTCAAGGGTCCAAGATTGAGGCTTCTTCACTGAACCTCCAACACGGTTTAGGGTTTAGGGTTTAGGGTTTGGGGTTTAGGGTTTAGGGTTTAGGGTTAAGGGTTTAGGGTCCCTGCTGTTGTCTGCTGCCTCAAGATAAACGGGGTTAGGGTTTTTTTGGCTTAGGGTAAAAAGCCTATGTGACTCTGTAAGAATACCACGTGGGGACAATATCCCACCTTTCGTCATGACCCGAAAACCCTCAAACTACAAAAGGCGCAGGCTACAGAAGGGTTCGGAGTAGGGTTCTGTTGAAATCCTGAGACGCGTAGTGCACCTTGAACCACAATCCACCACCACGGACTCTACAAAAAAAAATGCTGGCCCTGATCGTCAACACGGGGACCCATCACGGGTTTAGGGTTTAGGATTTAGGGTTTAGGATTTAGGATTTAGGGTTTAGGATTTAGGGTTTAGGATTTAGGGTTTAGGATTTAGGGTGGAGAACCGCCGGTAACAACCACCCTTAACTCCAGACCCAAAGCCCGCGACTCATAACCTCATGCTGAGGCGAACGCGACATGGTGGTCTGCCACGCCGCCGAAGAAAAGCCGCCTTCCCATCAGAACCCAGGCAAGTTCGGGGATTCAATAATCAATTGGGAAACAGGTAAAACTGTAATTTTATGGCCGACGCAACTCTGGAACAGTCTCCTCATTTTCTGAAGCTATGTTGCGAAACAATGAGATCAAGCAGGATATCAGCGTGGGGACGCTTTGGAATTCACGGCTCATCAGCAGAGATTCACAGCGACACATTCTGGGGCTCAAGGTTGAGATTCTGCACTGACCCCCTTACCGTGGACCCTGTAACAGAAACATACCTACCCATAGGCCCCATCGTAGCTCCTTTCTGAGATTACCTGATAGGATTCTAAATATGAACCCCAAAAAGGAACTACAATGGAGCCTATAGGCAAACTTCAGAATGGGGCCTATGGGTAAACTTCAGAACCCCTCAACCGGGTCCCAAGGCAAGCACCAGCAGCGTGCCTGAGCGGCTGCTCCGTGCTGACGGGGCAGTGGCCTTTTTCTAGCAGCTCAAGGCCACACGCACTCGTGGAGGTTGTGGATGAAATCTCAGGATTTATGTGGCAAGTTTCCCCAAGGCTCAAAATAGCCCAAAGGCCTCTGATAGTAGGGTCTTTGGGCCCAGAAGCCTTAAAATCTGAGTCCTTAGAGCCTTAGGGTTTGTGCAAGGCAGAAGGGGCATGACTTTCATAGTAGGGTCTTTGGGCCCAAAGGCCTTAAAATCTGAGTCCTTAGAGCCTTAGGGTTTGGTGCAGGGCAGAAAGGGCATGACTTTCATAGTAGGGTCTTTGGGCCCAGAAGCCTTAAAATATGAGTCCTTAGAGCCTTTGGGTTTGGTGCAAGGCAGAAGGGGCATGACTTTCTTAGTAGGGTCTTTGGGCCCAAAAGTCTTAAAATCTGAGTCCTTAGAGCCTTTGGGTTTGGTGCAAAGCAAAGAAGGGGCATGACTGTCATAGTAGGGTCTTTGGGCCCAAAAGCCTTAAAATCTGAGTCCTTAGAGCCTTAGGGTTTGGTGCAAGGCAAAAAGGGTCCCCAAGCAAAGGCCTTTGATTGTAGGGTTTCTGGGCCCAAAAGTCTTAAAACATGAGTCCTTAGAGCCTTAGGGTTTGTGCAAAGCAAAGAAGGGGCCATGAAGCCCAGAGTCTCAGTCTCCGAAGGGGGAGTCGGGGCGAAACAGTCTCTGGGCAGTTCTCTAAATTAGGGGCCCCTTTTCGGGCCCTTTTTATAAGAATGCCGTACTACTTTGGGGACCCAAAAAGGGACCCTAATTTAGAGAATTACCCATTTGATGTTGCGATTAGTACCAGGTTGACTGCGGATCGAGCTTTTTGCCTCAAGCAGTGTTGCAAAGTGAACTCTTTCTGAACCCTGATGAGGGTTTAGGGTTTTGCGTTTAGGGTTTGGGGTTTTGGGTAAGTGCCCGAAAACTTGGAAAATCCCAGTTACATTTGTAGGTTTGTCTGTGGGGAGCGTGCGATCACAAAGTAGTTTACCTTGAGGGTCCATGTGCCCAAATAGTATATGGGTAGTTCTCTAAACTAGGGTCCCTTTTGCGGTCCTTTTTATAAGGGTGCCGTACTATATTGGGTACCCAAAAAGGGACCCTAATTTAGAAAACTACCCATATACTTTGGCCCCAAAGCGCCTATATAGGGACTACTTTAGGGCCGAAGTATTTACTGTTTGGGTACCACGGATCCGTAAACCCCAAAGCCCTTATAATAGCAACCCTGAATAGAAACCCTTTCACCCTAAACCCTAAACCCTTACAATTATAAAACCTAAAACCTAAAACCCTAAACCCATAAACCCTTAAACCCTTAAGCCCTGAACCCGAAACCCTAAACCCTAAACCCTAAACCCAAACCCTTAAACCCTTAAGCCCTGAACCCTAAACCCTAAAGGATCCCGATAGGGTTCAGCCATCTTGGCAGCACTTAGCGGTGGGAGCCACTGGTCCTCAGTTTACCCTCTAGGGGTTTAGGGTTTAGGGTTTAGGGTTTAGGGTTTAGAGTTTAGGGTTTAGGGTTTAGGGTTTAGGGTTAAGGGGCCCAGTTACCTATTAAAAAGTAGTTACGCGCACTTGCTGAGTTCACAAGCCCCTCAACAACATACGCGTTCTTTCAGATCCGCTGTAGGGGATAATAATATAGCATCCCCAAAATAGTATCCCCGAAAGTGTAAAGTGTTCTCACACAGCTACCAAGCAAGTTACTGGTCTATGGGTACTATATGGTTTATGGAAGGTTTAAGGGACAATAACCCACTATATCGGTAACTGTGCTTGTAGGGTTAGTCTGCGACGTATTAGGGCTTTAGAGTCTAGGGCTTCGCGTCAGGCGTCGTTTAGGACGGAGGGACTTCGGGTATCTATCTTAAGGGTTTAGGGTTTGGGGGCTTAGGCTATAGGGTTTAGGGTTATGGCTTCGACATTGCCTTGCAGAATCTGCCTAGGTTCGTACACAGAGTCGTGAAGACGCCAGCCATTTACCTGATCCCCATGTTCCAAGTTAGATCTCACCCACAGATACCTCCCTACTCGAATCCTAAAGTACGAAGCAAGCTCGATGTGAGGACCAACCCCAACCCCTAAACCCTAAACCCTAAACCCTAAAACCCTAAAACCCTCAAGCCCTAAACCCTAAACCCCTAAACCCCTAAACCCTAAAACCCTAAGCCCTAAAATAATCCTAAGCCCCAAGCCCCATAACACTCAACCAGGCCCAAAAGCATCCTGAAGCTCCATCGAGCCGACAGGATTCAGAGTTAGGGAAGTGTCTACGTAACCATCAAAGTATTACACCCTATAGACCCTAAAACGGTTTAGGGTTTAGGGTTTAGGGTTTAGGGTACAAACCCTAAACCCTAATCCCTAAACCATAAACTCTAAAACATTTCGATCTTTATAATAGGGTTTACGGGAACCCTCCAAGTAAGAAGCAGATCGCTAAGTTGCAGGACGCAGCATTGGTAACCCTCCAACACACACAGAGGGAAGGACCCTCAACTTAATCTTCCTCTGGGGCTTCGGGTTTAGGGTTTACATTACTTATATATACCGTGATCTCAGGAATTTCCTGACTTGACCGGGTGTTGAGTCTCGCGCAGAGTCCGCTGCGGCGGCCAGGACCCTTCATGAAGGAGCTGTTAACCCTAAACCCTAAACATCAAAACCTTAAACCCAAAACACCCTAAACCCTAAACCCTAAACCCTAAACCGATTACAGGTCTTGGGGTCAGGAGTTTGGGAGCTTAGGGATGACGAGGTTCAGGCTGTCGTTTGTCTTCTTGGGGCCTGAACCTACGAAACCCCAAAACCCTAAAACCCCAAACGCAAGGTTTAGGGGTTTAGGGGTTTAGGGGTTAGGGCAAACACAAGAAACGCAAGGTTTAGGGGTTTAGGGGTTTAGGGGTTAGGGCAAACACAAGTTTCGGAATCAAGTGTGCTGAAGCTTGCGTGTTGAGTGTTGAAGCGCTCTAGGGCACCAGATGGTTGCATACCTACAGGGTCATACCCTACCCCTTTTTTTTAAGGTACCTAGTTTTAAGGTTAGGAACTGCTATATAAAAAAGTAGGTACCAAAAAAAAGGTAGGGTATGATCCTATAGGTATTCTCTGACGTGCAAACCGGCAGCCCTAAACTCATGTACCGAAATACTGGTTACCTGGACCCCTATACGGCAATCTTCAACCGTATGTTCTTCAACTACAACCAGAAATTTGAAATCCGACCCCCCCTTCGCGAACTATACCCGCAGTTCCTTGAACAGAACGACTTCTGTTACCCTATCCCATATAGCATATGCTTAGGCCTTCCAGGGGTTCCTATATGAGTACTTTAAAGCCTAAATATATACTATATGGGCACATGGAGCCTGAGGGAAAGCCCATAAACCCTGTAAGCCCCAAGCCCTATAAACTCTATAGACCCTAAGCCCTAAACCCTACAAGCCCGATAAGCCCTAAACCCTATACACCCTAAACCCTATAAACCCTATAAACCCTATAAACCCTATAAACCCTGTAAACCCTAAACCATATAAGCCCTAAGCCCTAAACCCTAAACCCTATAAACCCTAAACCCTATAAACCCTATAAACCCTATAAGCCCTAAACCCTAAACCCTATAAACCCTAAACCCCAAAGCTTAGTTGGGGAAGTAAGGTATGGCGAAGACGAGCGCAAGGCGCTCGAGGCCACAGAGACGAGAAAAAACGTGGCCAAAGCCAAGGCCATCGGAGCCGCAGGATGTTGGGGTTTTGGGTTTAGGTACAGGGTTTAGAGGGTTTATAGGGTTTACCGGGTTGATAGGGTTTTTAGGGTTTATAGGGCTTGTAGGGTTTAGGGTTTGGGGTTTAGGGTTTATAGTGCTTATAGGGTTTATGGGGTGTATAGGGTTTATGGGGCTTATAGGGTTTATGGGGTTTATAGGGTGTAGGGTTTCTAAGGTTTAGTGTTGGGGTTCATAGGGGTTTAGGGGTTTATAGGGTTTACAGGGTTGATAGGGTTTTTAGGGTTTATAGGGCTTGTAGGGTTTAGGGTTCAGGGTTTATAGGGCTTATAGGGCTTGTAGGGTTTAGGGTTTGGGGTTTATAGAGTTTAGGGTTTATAGGGTCTATAGGGCTTATAGGGTTTATAGGCTTTCTTGGGTTTAGGGTTTCTGGGGCTTCCAGGGTTTCTAGGGTTTAGGGTTGATAAGGTTGATAGGGTTTAGGGTTTATAGGGTCTATAGGGTTTATAGGGTTTATAGGGTTTATAGGGTTTAGGGTTTATAGGGTGATTCATGGTTTATAAGGTTTATAGATTTTAGGGTTTAGGGTTCTTGCAGGCTTATAAAGGGATCTATCAGGGTTGTATGGCTTTGGTGTGTTACAGGCTTACGTACGTTTAGATTTGGGTGGGGTCTTGAAAAAGGTGAGAGGGGGTGAAGTAGTGCCCAGGGTTGACGGCAGTTTAGACAGTTTCTCGAGTGTTTTACATGTTTTTCCACGGGTTCTGATACATGTGTTATTTCCGCCGTTGTTTGTCTATACAATACCTATAGTTTCTTAGATAGGCTTTCAAAGAGTTGAGGCGGGATTGTACAAACAGAATTGAAGTGTGCTCGAGAGGGGTTGATGAGTTTGTTTTGTTCGAGCAACATTCTAGTGGGTTGTTATAAACGTAATATACACTCTCGGCCAGTGCGTTAAGCGGCTGGGATTCTGGGTTTCAGAGGGTCGTATCTCCCTATAATAATCTAGGGGCCTAAATACTTACCAATATTGTTTTGGGGGTTCCTGATTACAATTATAGTATAATGGGCCCCAAAGCCCTATCCTGACTATTAAGGCCCCTACGTTACCCTCCATCGAGCAGGGCGCCTGCAGGGTTGCGGGGCTCCCAGCTAGGCGCGCAAAGTCGGGTGAGCGGTGAAAAGTAGTGATTCGGGCGTCGGGCTACTCCCAATGACCAGAACACCTTAATCTATAGACGGATGGTAGTAGGCCCCCTCATTGTACGGATCCGTATCGAAGATGGTTACACCTATTTCAACAAACCCTTGATTCCTTAGTCCTTCTTGCAAGTGACCCATTTGCGTCGAAAAAGCTCGTGGGAAGCTTTCTGTCTCTAAACCAACCTCTCTCTCACACAGACACACCTACTCTTGGCCTTGTTTGCCCTGGAGTACGACGCTGCAACTCACACCGGAACAGCTGGCGGCGCGCATGGCGGCACGGCAACGAGCCTTTTGCCGGCTTGCAGCGAGCTTCCTGCCGGCCTTTGTCACGGCTGCGTTCAGACTTCCGTTGTTGAGGCAGTTTTGGGCGCCAGAAGGCCAGAGCGCGTCAGCACCCGACACACAACGGTATCCGCGTTGGGCTTGACGGCTTAGGGTTTCGAGGCCCCTAAGCGCTGAAACCCTAGATTCTACCCAAGGCCTACCAAGTTCACCTCCCAAATGTCCAACTCCACCTAGCGATACCCCCAGCGAAGCCAATCCTCGAAAAACTAGCGGATCTCATGGATTCCTCTACACCGTCAGACATTCTCGGATAGTAGATACGGCTTTGTAGGGCGCTATCGTGTTGCGGAAGTAGGTGTTAAGATAGTTTTTGTCATCAGTGTAACCCATGCGACAGTGCAGTGGGTAATCAATGGGCGGCCCGAAAAGATTGATAATAGAATTACTTTGTATAGTCGCTATATAACATAATCCAGGCAGCCCCTGCATTACAGTACAGTCGCAGGCAGCCTCTGATGGTTCTTGTGCATGGAATGCTGATCCAGGCACTGTTGTCGCGGGCGCTCCACGAAACTTGGCTGAACATTCAAGACGTGACGGCTTTTCCATTAAACGCCAATTTACTTAACCCATTTCACGGCTTCACATCTTTTCTTGGCGGTTGAGGTTTAGAGCTTCTCGGAGGGACTTAATTTCTTTGGCCTGAACCCAATATTATATATTCGTGCACCTTATCGCTGTACCCGTCGAGCCGATTCATTCCAACTACTAGATGGTCTTAGGGTCTTAGTTCCAGTGGTCATGTCTGTTCATGTGGGGGTTTCCGAAAATATGGGACCCTACTATAGTACCCTAAATAGTCGGATCCTTATTATAATGACCCGTAAATAAGGTACCCCTTATTTTCGGAAACTCCCATGTAGCTAACTTCCATGAGGCCGTGCCCGCAGCTCTCAGAAAGAAGTACTTTGGGGATTCAGATCGGCTGCTGCGCCATCGGCCGGCCAAGTCTTTTTTAAAGGGATGAATGAACCGTTCAGATCGGGCCGTACTATCATCAGGGTTTGGGGTTTTGGGTTTTGGTTTAGGGTTTAGGGTTTAGGGTTTCTCGGAAACCGGACCGGCCGAAGAGAGCATGCACAGCGCCGAAGCGGAGATGCAATGGCTCTCGGCAGAGCTGCGGCGATCGCGATTGGCCAGATGCTGCAAACTGTTTTGCCCGGCACTCGGTCACGATCGGCTCCAGAGATTTGGAGTCGACGGTTCGCGTCATGGCCTGATTCTGACCACTTGGACATCTTCGACATCTTTACCGATGATCTTGTCGGTTTCTTCACTAGCGCAACCCAAAAAAGCCAATCTTTCAAGTGCCAGGACGACTTTCCGCCATTGTTTCGAGGAGAGGATTCAGGAGACACCGGCATCATCATTAGTGTCGGAACCTGATTAAGAAACCCTGGCCCTATAGCCCCAAATATATTCGGGTTCATATGAAGAACCCACATAAAAACCCAGGTTTCCTGTATTAAAGCAGCACCGTCCAGCCTGCCTGGCA